AGTCTTGCTGCATTCCCCAGGCTGAGCCCCAGTGTGTGATCCTCCTGCCTCAGCCTCCCAGAATGCTGGGCTTGTAGGCACCTACCACTCTGCCTGAGAGCTTTCTTTCTTATTTTTTTTTAAACAATGAATTTGGGTGGACTGTAGCTGAATCCAATAATCACCCCCCCAAAAAATAAATTGCAGATAATATGAAGGAAGCCCATGGGTATGTGGAAGAGGAGGAGGTGAGGAAGAGAGAGAGAGGCTGGAGACAGGCCTCAAACACACTAAACTTCTTCAAAGACAAAAGTGCATCGTGCCAGCCTCCTACTTCCCATTTAATTGAAAAATTATAGCTTTTTTTTTTTTTTTTTAAAGTATTTATTTGTTGCAGGATCTCACTACGCAGCTCACACTCCTGGTGATCCTCCTGTTTTCAGCCTCCCCAGCGCTGGGATTATAGGCATATGCCACTATGCCCAGACTGGACTATGGCCAGCTCAGCTTGCCCTGGGGGCGGGGCTGGCATGACATGTGATGTCAGGATTGAACAGCAGTCTCTGCACTTGCCTAAGCAGGCACTTTAGTCCGCTGAGTGATCTCGCCGGCCCCCAAAAAGATAGCTTTTAAAGTCACAGTTTCCCCTTATCTGATTCAAGAAGGCAAGACTATTTAAGTCACTATTTACATGTTTTCTGCCTTAAATAGTTGACACACTCAATTTCCTGACAAAGAAATTGACACAAAATTATACTTTATGGTCTCAAAATGACATGTTCTTGGAACTGTTCAAGTTAAAAGCATTGTCATCCCGCTGATATGTTTGCTCAAGGAAGTTGCTGTGACCTGGTGACATTGTAAAGGGGATCGAGTGTCAAAGAGACACCTGCAGGGACCGAGCACACGCTCTAATTTTGAAGTTGTTTAATTCATTTATTAGTTCACTACGGATGCATACATTTCCAGTATCCTCAAGAATTATGCCACTAAATCCCAGCAGATTATAGGAATAAAACAAAAAACGTATTTATAACCATGACTAATAGAGAGTGGATGAGCATTTCTGCCTGCTGCAGGCTGACGGCTTCACACGCACACACCTACCCATCCAGATTCTCAGGGTGGATTCCCAAGCTCCAAGCTGACAGTTCTCGGAGGCGAGTAGGCTGGGAAGAGGGAACCCATATGAATGGGATGAGCAACCTTATAAAAGAGGTCACTTCCTCCATGTGAGAACACAGCAATACGGTGACATCTAGGAACCATGACATGGGCTGTCACCGGTCATGGAATCTGCCAGGCCCTTAGCTCGCGCTTCCTTGAGAAATACATTTCTACTGTTTATAAACAATGCTGCTGATATTACTTGGTAATAGTAGCTGAACAGACTTAAGATTTTTTTTTTTTTTTTTTGGCGGAACCAGGGATTGAACTCAGGCCCTTGCACTTGCCGGGGAAGCGCTTACTCCACTGAGTCATCTCCCCGGCCCCCAGACTTAAGATGTTGTCCAAAGCTAAGCTTATGTAAATCAAAGTCCAGTGTGAAGCCATTTCAGGGCTGAGCACCCTGCAGTCTCTATAAGCTCTGGGAAACAAGCCTGCTGGGGTCATGTGACCACCCAGTTCTCCTCACCTCTGCATCACACGTCCTGATGGTAATGTGGCAGGCTGCGCCCCTACAGCCCAAGATGGACTTGCCTTTCTGTGTCAAGAACACACAGAGTTTGAAAAGTGGTTCTTCAAGACCTACGAGAGTTAGATCACCAGGTGACAGGAGGCTCTGGAGAGTCCGTGCTGATTGGCTTACAGGCTATTCTCTAGCAGCCTGGGTTGGTTGGGGACAGAGACACCAAAAGGACCACTGGAGCACACACAGACGCACTCCTGTCAGAGTGGCAGCCTTCCAGGCGCAGAGGGGAAAACACCTGTCAGTCCGCACGTTCCTGTGCGGGAGCTACAATCAGGAACACGATGGCCCACGATAGCACAGGGATCACAACCGAGCTGAACCTTGACAGAACAGCGGCCACCAACAATAAGAGGGACAGCACACGGGCGAGGTAAACAGCGAGGCATATGTGAAATGAATCCAGTGTGAGCACATGCGGTGTGGTGGGAACGGCGAGTGACTACCGGGGGCTCTGTCCCTTGCTGCCCTGGGAGACGGTGGCATCCCTGCACATAGCAGCCGCACGCAGGGTGTGATGGGCAAGGCTACGCTCCGGGTGCCTCCTGCTTTCTCCGCAAACACCGCAAGCCCTGTAGCAGCCACACAGCTGCCCTCTGCTCCACGCCCCGCTCTTCTACAGTGAACAGCTACCAGGGCCGCTCTGCCTCTCCAAGCCAGCATCATTCTGCAAGCTCGGGTCAAGTCCTGATTGGCACGGAAGCCATATTTGTCTCCTTCAACCTAGAAGTTCAGAACCTTCACTGGCACTCCAGTCTGCTGGTCTGTCCTCCAGATGCTGCCTTGTGTCCACGACTTTAGCTCTACACTTTACCACTCCCAAAGCCCTGCCTCAGCCATCGCTCCTTCAGGACCTCCCCGGCCATTCTTTAGGAGGCACAATGGGCCATCTTCCTGATTACCAAACTGAGGCTCAGGTCAATTAAAGAAAGTTCCCAAGGTCACAGACAGCATAACCCAGGAGGCCCACACTGGCCCCAGATCTACAGAGCTGATGCACGGTGCTCTTCGTATCATAGCCCTCAGGCTTCTTTTTGACTTAGGAAATGGTCACAGTGACACAATGTTATGGTTTCTGTCTAGTTGTCCCCCCAAAGCCTCATGCAGTCATCGGACAGGGACTTCTAAACTTTGAGATTAACTCATGATCCACTGGGATTATAGGTTTTAGTACTGCTGGAATTATGGGTGTGAGTGCTACACCCAGCCTGGAGCATATAGCCTGAATGTAACGTAAGAGAGAATGACTTCCTCTCTCTTGCCATCTTTGCCACTGCTCCTCCATTTTGCTCTCTTGCTCTTTGCTGCTGCCGTGAATGGCTGCCCTCTGCCATGTGCCGCTCTGCCTTGGAGTCAGCTGAGTATGGACTGAAACCTCCAGTAACTGTGAGCTAGATAAACGTTTCCTTCCTTCATTCTGGGTATCGGGTATTTGTCCCAGAAAGGAGAGTAGAGTAACTGAGACACACCTTTTGGCATAAGTGTCTTATCTTTACAGTGAAAGCTCTCTGGAACAATATTTACCACCAAGGCTACTGTTTTATGTTCTCCCGAGAGATGCACGAAAGCACAGAGCAGGGGCTCATTTACTCACTCATTCACTTGGTCAGCAACCATATACTCAGCACCTAGCAAGTACTAGCTGGACACTGGCCAAGGCATTAAGGAAACAGACAAGTAAAACTCACTTGGCCATCCCATGTCTTGTGGACACAGGCATGTGCAGGGCTCACAACATACAGAAATGAACAATTCTGTGGAGGTATCAACAAGATGCAGAAAGGCAGAGGACGGGCTGGGAGTCACTCCAGCTGCACATGACAGGAGCTCTCCTTGGACTGGATCTGGGGATAAACTCAAAGCAGAAGGAAGGCAAACAAGAAAGAAAGGCAGCAGGAAGCTTAGGCGAGCCTGCGTGGACTGCACACACCTGCCCGACAAGCTTTGGGACGGTTCTGCCACCCACGGCCATGCTTTGGAGGAAGCTCTTCAGGGGGTTGGGGGTGGTCCTTAGCATGGGTGGGTGCGTCTCTGTGCTTGTTCAGGATGCAAACTGCGAGTCCACCGCTTCCTCCAAACCCGCCACAATTTGCCTGGTGATACCAGAATCAATGCCAAAGTAAGCTGCCAGGACCGACACATCAGGTTCCCACTCTCAGAACACAGGGGCCTTTAAGAATCATGCCTGGGGACAGAGATTCCAAGGCCATGTACCTACCACCCTTTAAGCAAGTCTACTACTATATGCCAGGTTGAACACCTGTAGAGAAAATTAAACTTAATAACTCTTATACATCATGGGGCTGTGAGCATGCTGGCCAGCCCTAAGCCCCTTCTAAGGCTTGGTTACTCAGCACCTAATATCCCTGTGTTGGACTTTGTGTTTGGGTTCATTTAGGGAGACAGTAAGGAATTAGTATCCATGTGATATTTTCTTAAAGCCTTCTTCTCTACCTGAAAATGCCAGACACACTTCAGATGTCAAATGTACCCTGGAGCTCTAGGGAGGGGCTGACTGAGCCACATGAGTGCTCTGAAGTGGGTGTCGAAGCCTGTCTGGATCATTCTCTCTCCGGCACACATGCATGCAAATGTTCACAGGCTTGGAGGCAATAAATAGCTCTTTGGAGAGTGAGAGATTACATCACATCTTCGAGTGCCCTGTTACCTGAAGTCAGAGCAGCTTGGCAATCCTCTCTCCAGAAGGACTCACTGGGAAGCAAAGCTGCTGGGCTCACTTTGACCCCCTCCAAATGATCGCTTTGAGGGCACTTTTATGGGGTCAATTATGCCCACCCAAATTTACGTTGACATCTTCCCCCTTTGTACTGTTCAAGGCAATCCTACTTGGAAATGGGGCTGTTGCACATATAATTGAGGTCATCCTGGAGCAAAGAGGGGGCTCTAGTCCAGTGGATGTTCTTGCAAAAAGAAGAAACCTGAACACAGAGAAGCACCTGGGGTGAAGAACATGAGAACTGGAGCGATGATCTCCCAGCCAGAGGGCAACTGGAAGCTAAGAGAGACCGCATTAAAAGAGGCCAGCCCAGGCATGTGCTGAGGGAGCGCAGCCAAGGTCCACTCTTGAACTTTCAACCCCTAGAGCTGCAGCACACTAAGTTACTGTGGCCTAAGACCCTGACATCCCGGTATGCAACCTGGCAGCCCTGCACACTATCCTAGGCATACGTAATATGGCTGGAATGTGAAGGAATAAACTCGCCATCTAGTGACAGGCATTCTTTTTGATGTCATAATAGTAACACTCAACCTCTTTGAGCATATATCCTGCCCACTGACCCAAACGACCGTAAGGTAAAGGCAGGGGCATCACACAGTCACCCGTGTTTTGCTTCTAGAAGTGGGTAACTTTCTAATCAAGTCACCCCGCTGAGCACAGCCACACTTCTCCACTCATTTTCAGGTAGGTTCCAAACCTCCTGTTGTTTTGAGAAGTCCCCAGTGGTCAAAAGTCAGAGCATGGTATTAAAAGACTTAGTCTAGGAGCCACTGCCATTTCTGTAAGTCTCTACTTATAGATTTAAAACATGGAATGACAGAAGTCTATTAAAAATAGATCAAAACATCCCAAATTTAGGCTCCACTAATTGGTACGTGGCTATGAGTAATCTTATCCAGTAAGAAACCAAGAATTCTCTCATAAGCTTTTGCTTTTTAGGAAATAGAATTAAGTCCAAAAAATCCATAATATAAAAAAGTTAAGGGTCAAGGTAAGGTGAAGGGATAGGGTTCTGAAACTACTTGAAAAATTTTCAAAGCATATTAATGTAAATAGAACTGGGAGGATATCAATGTGGGATTACTTTGTCATTCCAGCCTTGTTGGACTTGGGTCTTCTTTCCACCAAGCACATTTACATTTCCTTTTTCTCCTTTAAAACTGCAATACTTAAGTCTTCATTTAATAGAGGAAGAAGCAGAGTGCGGTGCTCACAGTTAGGTGCTCAATATATTTCCATCCATTATTGGTGATAGTTAATGTTGGATTTATGCTCAAATTATCGATAACGTTAGATTTATGTTTAAATAATTCAACTCTTATTAAAACAGAATTCTTATGTACTCTGTTGCCCCCCTCTTTTCTATATGATCATTAGATCGTTCTTTTAATTGCTTTGTTTGAACTATTTAACATCAGGCACACAGCTGGAGACAAAGATAGGTAACATGAGTCCTTTCTGCCCCAAATGGGGCAAATGATGAATGGAGCCAGTTGGACACAGGGAACTCCTTTGGCCAATCAAGTACAGACCAATGGGCTATTTTTGTATCAGGGATCAAACTCATGCCTTGCACTTGCCAGGCACGTGCTTATGCTGCTGAACTATCTCCCAGCCCCCAGTGTGCTGCTGCATAAGTAAAATATTAATTTGGTCACTGGGAAAGTTATTAATGCAATGCTAGGGGTGTACTTTGCCTTGTTAGCAGGAGTTTTGGTTGACAACATTACCATCCATCTAAAAAGAAAGTCTGGAACAACCCTGCCAATCTCTAACCAGAAAAGTAGCCAATGTAGCAACATTAGCCCCTATCAGTAATGTCCAGATGGCCCTGCCAAGGCTATATGGGGTATGTGGTGTATTCTGTCCCCTCACAAACTTCATTTTGTACATCCAGATAAGGTACCTCTTGAGACCCCTGACTGCAATCTATACAATGATGGTTTATGGCACAAGCCAATCTTTCCTGTCTCCAAGTTACACCCAAACTTCTTTTAATACAACTCCATGAGGGTCATAGATTGATTGATTGATTGATTGATTTCTTTCTTTCTTTCTTTCTTTTTTTCTTTCTTTCTTTCTTTCTTTCTTTCTTTTTTTTTCTTTTGTATTTAGGACAGGGTGTATAGGGTCTTACTGCATAGATCGGACTCATAGTGATCCTCCCGTTTACAGCCTCCCAAGTGCTGGGATTACAGGCGGGCGCCATGACACCAGTGTCAATTGCCATCTCAGTGAGCCCCGGGGGTAGGACTGGCAGGGAAGGCCTGGGGATCAAACTCCTGGCCCCTGTGTCTGCCTAAGCAGGTACTTTAATCCTCTGAGCTATTTGCTGGCCCTGAGGGGCATAGCTTTTTAAAAACACTATTCCTTCCACTGCTCAGGAGACAGACCAATAAAGAAACATATGATTTATGATGAAAGGAGCAGAACATGGGATGAGCCCCAGGAGTGCTCTCTAAAAATAGTATCTGGCCTTCTGGGGAGTCACCTGAGAGATATGACCTTGAACAAATGGCATGGAATCCGACTGTATGAGGTTTTCTTCACATCCATTCTGTTTCTGTTCCCCCTAATATCTCACCCATTCACTAAGTTTACAGGCTGTCTGTTCTTTTCACAACACAGCAAGCAGAAGACCTGAAAGACATAGCTCCTCTTCAAAGAGTCTAGTGTGCCAGCGTGTGTAGATGACCAAGAGAACCACTAGAAATCCTCCACAATGAATTTTCTGGACATAAAAGCCCACATCAATTCCTTGGAGGTGAGAGCAATGCTAAGCTCTGATGGGGACACGGGAGCTTCTGCGGGAAACCGGAGAGGAAGTAGCCGTGGTCAGACAGGGAGCCTGTGCAAGGCCCACGAGGCCACAGAAGAGGACTCGCCACATCTGGGAGGCCAGGTAGGGCCGTAGGCCATGCAGGACCTCTGAAGGGTCAAGCAGGGACATTCTCACGGTAAGACGCTAACCCTGGACACAGGGTGGAGGAACAATAGAAGGGACCGAGTTCTAGAGGCCCGGAGAGCGGTCAGGAGGAGCTGGTGGCAGCACAGCATGTTCTGGCCTCACCCTGGGGCTACAACGTTGGCAAGGACAGGTGGACAGGAGGGTGTCGTGTGACAGCAGCATCGCTGTGGCTGTGGGAGGCGGGATGCACACACACAGAGGAGAAGAGGTGGCTGCTGTCTGGGCCATGCCTGTCACATGAAGACTGCAGGACACGTAACACGAGAGCTTCTTTCTAACTCACCGCTTGCCTTTCTACTATGCCTTTAGGTTAGCAATGGCGAATCTCTACAGCTCTCACTGACAGCCAACAGCCAGTGGTGGCACGTGTGCCATAGGTCCCCACCATGCCTCTAGGACAAAGTCACAAATTTGAACTGGGTATCAGAGCCCTCTATAGTCTCCTACAGTCAGCAAACACAGGAGACACGCATGAACGTTAGACACACAAAAGGAACCTTCTCCATTGGACCACATAACATGTTCTAACTTCAGGTGTGGCTCAGTACTTGGCTATAAGAAAAGAAGACAAACAGCTTGTAACCTATTGCTCCTGGGTACGTCCATCCTTAGCCCCACCCCTTCCTCTCCAGCAAGGTGAAGCACCTGGGGTCCTGGCATGTTAAGTGAGCTGCACACTCTAGGCACCGAAGCAGCAGACTGCATACTGGGTTTATTTCCTTTTTGTTTCCTTCTTTTTTTGCAAAGAAGCCACAGTTCGGAAGTCTACGCAAACCTCATTAAGGTACAGTGGCTCCAGCAGCTTTCCATCAGTCCCTCCTCCCCGCTACTCTGCCCTTCCGGAGCCGACAGTGTCAGCTGCTTGGAGCGCTCTCTCCACGAGTTCTCCACACTGCTCCTGCAGCAGCTCCAGCTCAGGAAATTTCTGGGCAGTGCTGACAGTTTGTTAACCATGAAAAATGGGAGTTCAGGACCGGAGGGGGTGGAGAACATTTCAACATCCTTTCGAAGGTGCAAGGCTATTAACAGTGATGCTGAGGGTGTAAGAATTTCCTTTCGGATCAGACTGTCTTCAACCTCAAACTTTTACCTAAGAGACAGAGAGTGACAGCTCTGATAAAACACCACACACGCTGGGAGGGGGATGGCACTGCTGCTCAGGGAAGAGGGGAGGGCCCAGGGAGCTCCCTGACCATTCTGACCTTCCCCTGTGGGCCTCTGGGCCTCCAGGCCTGCAGGGCTGGACTGACTGGGACAGTGGCTGTTTTGTGAAAGAGAAATACCTTTTGTCGACAACACAATGGGAAGCAGAAATGAAAGAAGTGAAGAAATGCACTTTAAGACTAAAGGTAGGGGCCAGAGAGATGGCTCAATGGAATAAGCGCTTGCCTGGCAAGTGCAGGGGCCTGAGTTCAATCCCCAGTTCTGAAAGAAAAAAAAGGCTAAAAATAGTACAGAAATGTACAGAGAGAGCAATTAATAGAACTCCTTAGGTTGACTTAGATGAAAGTATTCTAGGCAGTCTGACAGGGCTAGGCCCACAGAAGAAGCCAGTACAGAGGATGAGAAACCTTGCAGCATGGGGAGCTAGGCCCTCCAGCTGTGGGCAGACCTCCAGACCAAAGATAAAATAAATACAGCCACATACCTCCCTAGGGATGGACACCAGGGATTGATGGTCTAAATAGGTCTCTATCACCTTGAAAAAGCCAGGAAGTATCACTAATCCAACCCTCTACAGGAAGAGTCTCTGTTCTGTACTCAGGCCCTCTTGCTATATAACTATTCCCGATTTGATTCCGATTTAATCAATCTTACCTGACCAATCATACTTGTAATCTTATTGGTTGACTACAGTTTTGTCCCGTCTCATGCCCGCCTTGCAAGTTCTCAAGTTTGCCACCTTGGGCCCACCTCCTGTCATGGTTTTGCTCTACAAAAACCTCTTAAAAAGGCAGATTTCTTAGCAACCCACTGGGGTCCCCCTTCTAGCTCTCTCTTGGACAGAAGCTTTCTTTCCCTCAATAAATATGCTCTGCTCTTCACCCCTGTTGTTCCTAAAACTCATCTTTTGATTTTTAAAGAAGATGAACTTATCCCAGTATCTTTCAGGTTTCGAGTTTCCTTCCCCGGTATTAATCTGTTTGACCCTTCTTTGAAGAAAAGGGTCACGGTTCACCATTGTACCTTGAAGTATCTAACAGTACCTGTCACACAGTAAACGTGTAATAGACGTTGTTGGCCTAAATGAACACACCTGGAGTGCGGCACCACGCAAATCCCTAACTCACAGATGGATTAAGAAGATCGGGAGAGCAACGAGGTCACAAGCCAGCATTCTACACTAACCCGCAGACCCCTACTGAGAGGAGGCGCACCAAGATGAAACAGAATTGCACGTTTAAATTCAGTTTGGGCAATCTACTGTGTTAGCAAGAACCTGTCCCCCGCCCCACCCCCAAATACTGAAGGCTGCAATGCGGCACTAGGTGAAGGTCCTGGGTTCAATCCTTACTACTAGGGAAAAACAGAAAGGAAAAGTTCAAGCAGAAGCAAGCTGAAGCAGTCTCGCACCCCAGTCAAATGCCTTTGCTCTCCACAGGGCCGCAATGGCGGCGTCACATACATCTGGGTGCTGAATGAAGCAGACGCAGCAGGTCCCCCTGTGCCTAGGCGTGTGGTCCTCCACAGAGGCGGAAGAGGCAGCACTTGGTGCTCCAGCCCAGAAGCCGCTCACACACCACGCTTGCTGTGGTTGTCAACCAAGGAGGCGGTCGCCCTCCCAGGGAGACAGGGGCAGCAGCTGGATGGTTACAAAGACTAAGCGACGGTACTGGGTACTGAAGTGTGAGGGCAGGATTGGACCACGGGTGCCAACTGAGTCATAGAGAGGAACTCACAGCTGAGCTCTGTCCCGGCTGCCTCGCCTCGTTATGAGACACTGCAAGTTCACAGAAACACTCTCAAAAACAGGTGGCGCTGCCCTGGGGTTCGCCTCTGTGTTCTCTCCATGTAAAATATCTGAAGAACATTGCCACAAGTGTCTCGGAGCATGTCTGAAATAATATTAGTAGCTAAAATAGAGTGCGCACCGCGTGTGAGGTGGCTGTAGACCTGTAACACACAATGAGAGCTCAGCCAGTGTGACAAATACAGCAGCTATTACTGCATTTTTAAACTTTCAGGTGAGGAAAGTGGGCCAAAGAGAAAAAAGCTATGTATCCAAGCATCGCCCCATGACGGAGGAGCTTACGCTTGAATCCAGTGTTCTTTGACGCCAAGCCCAAGAGTGACCACTGAGCAACCACTTTGGTACACGTGGATGTGAAATATCCAAACTACTCTGCCCAGGGGAGTGTGCCAGTCTAAGGGGCGACCCAGAGGAGTCGCCTAAGCACAGAGCCTGTTGGAAGGTGAAGAAGTCCCAGGTCCCTGCACAGTGCCACCGCAGGCTGGCCTCGAAGGAATCCCAGCAGCAGCAGCTGTGCACAGGTGGGCTACCTGCACCTGACTGCTTTCGTGCCAGGATCTTTGCTACTAAAATAGAGGATGTTCCTGACAGCAGGGCTCCACAGAAACACACAGGAAATTCCATGCAACAGCTGAGGAGTAAGTGGTGGTTTCTTTGTGTAACACAGGCCACACCGACATTCATTCCCAAGCCAGAGGCCAAGGCATGAGGTGCTGAAATAAGGGCACAGGAGAAGTTTCACCATTTCTAATTAAATATGTTACATTAGGTGTAGGGTGTGTCTTTTAAAGGAAGAAAGGTGCCATCTCAGTTGAGAATTTCACAAGTGACTGTGGCCAGTGTTTTATGGACAACCCCAAGGAGGTGACAGGATCCAGTGAGGTTCGAGAAAGCGGAGGCCCCAGTGGACTAGGTGTTCACACCAGTGCTGAGCAAGTGAACTTCTGTACTCCCTTCAGCAACTAGTTCTCACCTTCTGTGCCTCGCATTCTTTGCTTATGGGGCCCTAACCATGTCTGAATGCAAGATTATTGGTACTCCAAAGCACCCCCAGCTCTTCACGGGGCTTTCCACCAAGACAAGTCAAACAATGCTGCATATTTGTGTAAGCTCTGGATAAATGATTATGAGAAATATATTATCATGCCATATTCTTTGGAAAACAGCACATGAGAAATTTTATCCCATTGTTTATCCTGACCAACCCTACGTCCACTCCACGTCCATCGGTCATCCTTGTCTCTTCCTAGGCATGGACCTGGATTTAAAAGATAACAACTCCTGGTAGCAAATGCACACCGCATTCTTAGTTACGTGTATTGTTTCTGCAATTTCAGAAGCAACTGAAGGAAGGACTCTAAACAGCAAGGCCAGCGTGCTGCATTTACTGCAGACCGGCTGCCCGATTTCATCTGACTGTCTTCTACGTTGAGAACCCTTAATTTTCTTGTCTCCACTACACTGGGAAAGTCCTGAGAAGGGGAGGCAGTCGTAGTCCTAGTTTCTGTACATACCTGCGATCTCTCCGCTGTCGGAACTACATAGCAGATAATAAACTAAGTGTCTAGCACCTCTGTGTATTCTCCTTCTGGAGAAACAGAAAACATAGAATCCAAGACAAAGGATCAGCCGAAGGCACTAACTAGACACCTGGGAGTCCTCGCACTAACGTGGCGTCACATTCACTGTATGCCAAATGAGTGAGGCCAGCCCACAGGGCTCACGAGTTGGTGGCATGCTCACTGTGCTGTGACCAACAGCTCAATCTGTTCCTTCGGAAACAGGGGTCAGCAGCACTCATGAGATTAACCCAGGCTTGACGCTAAGGAGAACTGTGCGTGCTCACCTCTTGCAAAACCTCTCCTCGACTCACCGCACTAAGCCATGAAAGTAATTTCCTCACTTCAGGTGCAGACAGAGGCTGCATCTGCCTCCTCCTCTTCACAGATGGGAGAGGGAGGCTGGACCACGTGTGGCCAGACCACACTGGCAAGTGCGTACAGTGTGGTCACAATATATGATGATGTTTACCATTTTTAAAATGCATTACAGTAGAAGAGGCACTCCCATGAATTCTGCTCAAACACTGCACACCCCAGCCCTCATTCTAGGCTCTCGCCACTTTCTATAACAGCTCCTGGCTTTCTCTTTCATGAATGGCCCTGTGCTGAAAGCCTGGACCCCCACTCAAAGCATCACTGGGAATGGAGGAGCTCTGGACGTTGTTAGGTCATGGAGGGTGTGGCCCAGAAGGGGATCTGTGGTCAGAGCCTCTTCCCATCCCTTGGCTTCCCAGCCACCTCGAGGTGAACACACCTCCATCACATGCTCTCACCATGATCGGAGGTGCTGCCATGGGCCCAACGCAGCAGGGCCAAGTGACCGTGGACTGCAACCTCTGAATCTAGGAGCCACAGTAAACCTTTCCTCCTTGCCAGTTGAGTTTTGCAGGTATTAGTCATAGTCATGGGAAGCTGACTGGCAGGTGGGAAGATTCTAGTTCTGACTCTACTCCACAGCTGCCTCTCAAGACAGAAGATGGGGCTTGTCATCCACCTTCCCAGGAAGAAGGGGAAAAAATCAAAGTCATCCTGATGAAGGTTTCTAAAAAACAAGGAAACACTACCCAGGTGTAAGTCACACTGCCTTTAAGAAGCAGCCTCTTCAGGATTTACCTACAACACAGCAGGGGCCACAGCACCAAAGCTGTCGCCCTGTTTCCTTGGGAGTTCCCAGGCTCAGTTCCCCATCAGAAGCACCCATCCCTGACCTACTACGGAACTTGCATTTTCTGGACAAGTACACAGAAAGTGGTTTTAAAAACAACTTTGTAAAGGAATTCTAATCAATGAGGTTTGGGAAAAACTTTTAAAAAAGAATGGGTCTCTCTGTGACAGATGAAAGGGTAACTGTGATTCATAAATCTGTCGTCTCTTCCTCCTAGCAAAGGACATCAGGTTTAATAATTCCAGCGTGCGAGTTTAGCTGTTTCACTGGCAAGACAGTGTTCAGGAAGCAAGCTGGCTTTGGAATGTACTACAAGGTTTTGGAAAAGCAACATGCCCTATGATCCAGACTGACTCCTAGGCATGCAGGAGGGCACGCACGGCATGGATGACTGCAGGGCCCGACCGTGGCGAATGGGACTCCAGCTTCTTTTGCACTTTTTGCTTCCCTGCCCTCCAGGCCGGCAGCCCACAGGAAGCCAGGGCCCTTGGAGGCAGCCTGATGCATCTACTTTCCTCTGCTGCGCCTGGCATCTCCTCTACCCAGCGGTTCAGGGACTGGCTCCTTGCTGAGAGGGATACGAAGGCAGAAAAGCCGAGGAGCCGAGTTGGGCAGCAGAGAACTCTCTGATCCCCTGACAGAAATGTGGAAGCTTCCCAGAGGTGATGGAGACCATGGCATAGCTTGGCCAGCCTGGCTGGCAGCAGCAATGGCACTGGCCAGCGATCATCAATAAACTCATTATCTTCTGCCCAGAGGGCTGTCCAATTCGGGGAAATTCCGCCCTTCCCACAGAGACACCGCATATGGGGAGGGCGGCAGAGCAAAGACAGCAGTCTGTCAACCCCTGATCCTGGTGGCGCTGGCCTGGCAATCCTCGAGGCTTGAGCTTAGGAGCCATCAGGCATCAGGTAAATGCCAGCCATACATCGCTCCTAAACTCGCCTACTGTTCTCCCCTCGCTTGAGAATCCTGAATGCCTGACGTTCCCTTCGTGGGCATTTTATGTTTGCTGCGTGGCTTCGCGATTTTTCAACCCACTTTCTATTTCTAAAATCACAAGTCAGTGAGTGGCTCTCAAAGTGTGGTCCTGGGGCCAGGTGTGTCGTGGTCACCTAGAAACGGCCATGAATACAGACTCTCCACGCCCCCCAGGAATGCTGACATGCTAGAAATCCGAGCGCCACTATGGTGCATGTCACACGGCTCCCCTCACACTGAAAAGAAATACAAACTATGTTTTTTCAGAACTTGCAAAATCTTAAAAACATTGTGTCTGAGTGAATTCATAAGCAAAATACAACATATTGACCTTTTTTTTTTTTTTTTTGCTTAATGACTATTTTCTTGCTCTACTAAAAGATTACCTTTTTCTCCCATACAAAATAGTATGATTTACAAATGATCAGATGGCAGAATTGCAATTATTTTAAAATACGCAAATCTATCATAGTATTATTTACCTACAAATGTTCTACCAGCATGTATGACAGCACATCATGGGCTATGGCATTAATGTGTTTGCATGAGCTTTAACCACGGAAGGTACATGCACACCTGTCCCACTGGGTGGCATGTCACAGTGCCATCAGGACCCCATAACCCTATCATGTTCATGTTCAAAGTTCTACTCAGGAACACAAATCAAAATGCACTAGCTGGCATTCACAGGTGAGTGGATTTTAAAATAAGCCCCTTTTCATTATTTTTTAAATGATCTACAACAAGGTGTTGTATACTTTCAATGTAGAACTCAAATGTGTGGTCCTTTTTCCTGTTTAATTATTCATGTTCCCTTTAATTCACATATAGCACAAATATCTATTGGCTATCAGCTTCTCTCGTTTTCTTAGACACTTCTTTGTGATAAGCCAGAAGCACATCTAGAAGTTAACAACTTGAAAATATTGATTTTTTT